GCAACAGCCACTGCGAGACAGTCGGAGCGCCCACAAAGCCGCCGCTGCCACCGCCACCCCCGACCCTGGGATGCTCAGCCCCTGCATCAGTGGCACTGGGTGCCCTGGCCTGGTGGCTGGCATGGTGTGTCTTTCCATTCCTGTGCCCTCCAGCTGGACCACACTGTTAGGCTGGTTTGTGGGGGTTGCTGGGGTGCAGACCTGTGCCACTCGTGGGGGCAGAGGAAGCTGTGGGTGTTCATCCTGCATCACCAGAGCAGAATGTGGCCCAGGCTGTGTCACACGGGGGTTTTCCTCCACCCCATCGCAGCTCCACAGCACTCTTGCTGTGGGGGCAATGCTTTGAGTACACAGCCATGTCTTAGAATGTGCTACCAGTTCTTTCCTCTCCAGCCTTGCTGGAGGTTGCCTTGGCTTCACTGCCTGGCAGGGGTCAGCCCTCACTTCTCCAGACTGCACACTGCTCAGTTAGCCTGGAGTATCCATGCCAACATCCTGTGAATGCCACATCCATGCCAGAGCAGGATGCAGGTAGTCAGTTGGGAGACTCCTGCAAGGCTGGTGCAGCATGCGAGGGACCCCTGCCCTCTGAGCAGACATGCTGTCCCGTGTGAAACCCTGCCCACAGCCTTGTCACTGTCATGATGTTATTATTATTATTATTAATAGTAATAACAATAGTGATTTGTTTCCTTGCTGTGAGCTGGTTCTCCTCCAATAAGTCAGCAGTGGGCTGCAGAAAACCTGTGGAAAGTAAGCCAATGTGGCTGTTCCTGTCTCCATCAATACACACAGTGCCAGGGCCCTGGTGGGACAGAGCACTAGTCCCAGACAGAGCACTTATGTCCTGCTGCGTTTGGGACTGATTGGGTATTAGGGAAGAGACATGTCCCAGCTGTGCCCAGGAAACAGTAGCATGACACTAGGAAGGCATAGTGGGAGCAGAGATGGATGCATTCAGGGTGGCACCCTGGGAATGGGTGCTTGTTGGGGAGCATTGGGGTGAATTGCAAGGAAAAAGGCTCTTTGTTGGGCACATTACCCCAGCATGAGATAGAAGCCAGGTTGTTTTGGCTAGGAGACCTGGAGCTGTGGCTTCCTCACCAGCCCTTCGCAGTGATGGTGCCCCAACAGGGCTGTGTGAGACTGGTCACAGCCCCACTGCTGTGCTGGCAGGAGCGGGGACAAGGATTCCTGTGGGGTGGCATAGGAAGCAGAGCACCCAGGGAAGGTGGCAGCATGGTGTGACCCTGCTTGCAGGCTGTGGTACCCATGGGACTCCCTGACATACTGATCCGACCTCTGCTCCTGCCACTCAGCACCACTTTAGGTGACCGTCCATCCCACGCTGAGGATGCTGGTTGGTGCAGGGCTCTGCCATGTCCCTCGTGAGCCAGCTTTCCCTCCACCGTGCAAGCAAGGTCACGGGGCCTTTCCTCATTGCTCAGCCACCCTCCCTCCCATATTAGCTGGAGGCTTTAATTAATAAAGGCATTCACCATACACTAAGTGCTGTTCCCAGCCACCCCGGGGCCGTGGCCACACGGTGGGTTGGCACAGTCAGCGTGGGACGCTCCTGCTCTCTTCCAGACCCAGCTACTGGTGAGGATGATTTTTCTCCCATTTTTTACCCCTGAGGTCGTGGGTTTGGTCGGTCAGTGGCTATGCAGGCTGCGTTTTCTCGGCTGTGCTGGTGGGCTGCAGGCCAGGGCTGTTCCCATGTGCAAAGCTGTTTGCCCCACAGCAGCCCAGCCTGGAGCAGCATGCCCCACACTCTCCATGGGGCTGATGGCACCTCTCCCCACTCGGGCTTTGCGTGGCCCCTGGCCTGGCAGGACCTTCTATGCAGGGGGTGACGTGGAGACTCCTGGTGCTGGGTGCCCTGGGACTCCTGGGAGGCTTCGCAGTGGTATTTCTCCCTCCAAACAGTTCTGGATTGTTGGATGGCTCCCAAGCACCAAGGCAAAGTGTCGTGTCTGCACAAAGCAGGCAGGTGGCACAGCCTGCTTGAGTTTTGAATGGGAAACTCGGTCGGATGAGCAAAAGCCAGCTCTGGAAGGGAGTTTATGACCAGCTCCTGCATTCCTGGTGGCCTCACAATGCTCGTGGCATTGCTTGACCTTTCCACATAGCCAGCCCAGGCTGACCCAGGTTTGGATGTAGACAAAGCGTGGAGCAAGCTTGGCTGAGGCTGTGTGGATGCAGTGGGGTCTGTGTCTGCTGCAGTGCTAGCACAGCCCATACTATTGCGGTTACGTCCAGGGAGATTGCAAAGGGTGTGAAGCCAGTGGAGGGAATGTGGGACTAATGTTGGTCCATTCTGAGCTGCAACAACTTGTCTGAAGGCTTGGCCTTGGGGAGGGGGTGGAAATGGATACTGTGCAGGCAATGCCTGAGGTCTGGATCCTGCCTGAGTGCACTGGGGCATGCCCACCTCATCCATATGCAGGAGAGCTTGGATTGTCCCTTGTGTCCCCGTGTCTGTCACACTGTGTGCAGCCAGCTGCCAAGCACACAGGCATCTCCTTGCTCTCTTCTGCTTTCTAAGCTGGCCTTGTGCCTGGGGGTGTTTTTGGAGATACCAGTGTTGGGGATACAAAGTCCCTGGTCAGCAGCACCCAGTCTCACACCGCTGTGAAGTGGTGGCTCCATGGAGAAGTCTGTCCCTGCAAGCCCTGGGGCTGAGGTGCCGACTGGCCCGCACCTGCTTCACAGGCAAGGAGAAGACTTTGGGAGCAAAGGCTTCATGTTTGGTTTTCTCCCATCATTGCTAGACAAACTTCAGGCTGGCTCTCTGCTCTTTTTCTGCTTGTAACATCCCTTGGCCTCCCAGAATGGCTGAGAAACATCACCCCTTGTTCTGACTATGCAGCCTAAAACCAGCCAAAAGGTTGGATTTTCTCTCTCTGTCTGATGCTGAAATCTGGGATGGGAATTGGGATGTTCTTGCCCTGGATTGTGTGCTTACAGAGGTGACCAGCATGGATAGATGAGGTTGGTTCCTCAGTTTGCCTAAGACCGTACCCTGGAGACAGGTTTGTTCTTAACTGGGAGAACTGGATCTGGGTAGGAGCTGTGAGCTGAGTTCATCAAGGCACTGTCTGCTCCATGCCTGGTCCTAGATCCCAGCAGAGGGGTTCGCTGTGCCCCTGGACAAGCCGAAGCACCAAGTCCCCATGGTAGATGGGTAAAATGAAGCTGATTTGGGTCCCATCCCCATGGGAGGGAGACCTGTGAAGCTCCAGAGGGCTGGGGTGAAGAGGACCAAGGCAGGACCTGCCCTGACATTTCCCTTGCCCTGAGCAGGGCTGCTGCTGCAGGAGATGACCATGGCAGGGCTGCATGAGCTGCGCTTCACTGAAGAGAAGCCGCTGCTGCGGGGACAGGATGCTGAGCTGGTGAGTTTGGTGACCACACTGGCTCTGGGGCACATGGGGCAACATGATGCAGGTGCTTGGGAGGGGTTGTGTGCACATGTGTGTACATATGTGGTGTTGTGTGTGTGTGTATGTGTGTGTGTGCTGGTGTCGATGCACATGCATAGGTGAGTGTGGGTTTGGGTTTGGTGTGATGATGTATGTGTGTACAGATGTTGCACACATATGCTAATACACACTTGTGTGTGCACACATGCAGGTATGGACTGCACATGTGTGCTGGTGTTGTAGATGTATGCGTATATGTGCACATGTGTGGGCATTGTGTCCCTCTGCAGCCAGTGCTGCCCCAGGGAGAGGTGTCTGTGGTGTCAGGGGGCTTTGTGAGCTGGGTGGGAGGAGGGTGATGCAGGAGTGAAATGCAGCGAGCGGATGTCTGTCTCTAATGGCTCCTTCTCACTTCAGGAGAACTCGGATGTCTTCCTCTCCACTGTGGACACAGACTGGAAGGTAGGACCAGCCATGGGAAGTGCCCCCCACTGCCGGGTCTTGCATGGGACAGGATCCTGTGGCTGGGGAAGGCTGTGGAGCACTGAGCGGACCCAGAGGTGTTGCTGTCCCCCCTTCCGTGGGGATGCAGTGCCTGGTCGCTGTCTGTGAATGCAACTGCACGTCCATCATGGTCCTCATCAGGAGGGGATGGGGGGATGCTGCCAGGCATGCTCCTTGCTGGCGCTTGGATGTGGCTGGTGGGCACTTGGCCACAGACTGGGGACAAAACCTTTAAAACAGGCAATTTCTTCTCAGGAAGGCTGAGCTGCTTTTCCAGCCCCTCTACCATTGCCGTGGCAATGGTTTCCCAGGCAATGCCAGCTCCCTGCTTACATAAGGATGTTTGAAAGCCTCTTTCTCTTTTGGAGGGCTGGGGCATTGCCCCCTGTACCACTCAGCTCTCTTGGAGAGCAGGGCCCCTCTGCTCCCTTGGCTGGTACCTGCCTGCTTTGTACCTCCACTTTGCCTCTCCAGAAGAGCTCTATAATCCGGCTTTGGGACTGCTGGGGCTCAGCTCATGCCTGGCTCCCATGTTGGTCTTCATGGCTCTCACACCTCTGCCCAGGCTCATCTTGCACTAGGCTCCCTCTGCAGAGATGAGGGTGCTAGTAGATGGGGAGGGAGGGTATTGGGGCTTCCAGACCACAGCTTGCTGCCTGTCCCTCTCCCAAAGTGTCCCTCCTCCCAGGGGACAGCCAGTGATTGACTTCAGGTTGTATGCTGCCGCTTTGCCAGCAGCTGAGACCACTAGAAGGGTGGACTCAGGTCGTAGTGGCTGAGCCCTGCCAGGTCTGGAACTGAAACAACAGCACCTGCAAGGATAAAATAAGTCTGGATTTCATTTATCCTGGGAGAGGGACAGGGGAGCACAGGTCCCTGTTTTAGCAGCCCCAGAGCAGTGCCCAGGCTTTTGGGGCAGGCTTCCTTGGTATCTATCATCCATGTGGGTGGCAGGGTGCAGCCAGTCAGGGAATGAGGTCTTTTATCAGGATGCTGGGTAGTGGCTGCTGTGGTTCACAGAGTGGGAAACTTCTGGTGGCCCTCTTGAAAGCCACAAAAATAATTAAAAACTGTCAGTGGTGGAAAAGAAATGCTGCTCTTCCCAGCAGCTCCAGAGCTGGTGAGATGCTGGGGCTGGAAGCGGCAGGGTGTGGAGTGCTGGGCTGCTCCTTGCTCTGTTTGCTCGGGTTTCCTGTAGGCCACTGGAGAGGAAAACAAACCTCCTGGTTTCACCAAAATGAGGGCAAGGAGGGAGAGGGAGACCAGGAGGGAGAGAGGGGGTGGCAGTGTCTGGCTGCCCAGAGCTCCCGGGAGCACCACAGGCTCTCGCTCAGATGTGCTGGGGCAGGGCTCTGTTGGCACGCAGGGGATGTTAAAGAGCAATGACCCTTCCAGGACAATCATTGCATGCCAATATTTCAGGGATTGGCCCACGGTGATGCTGAACTGCGTCCCTAGTGGTGCCCAAGTGGAGCAGGTCTGGATGGTAAATGCCACAGTGATGTGTCTTCATGCCCTCGGGACCTAAAAAAGGAACTGGGCAAGGATCAAGGCAGCTTTTCCCAAGCCAGCCCGGCCCTGTGCCCTCTTGGTTTCCCTCCAAGAGGCTCAGGGTAGGGATGGGATGAGCTTCCTAGGCTGTGCCAGGTCAATCCCCTCTTCCCCTGGCATTTGCAGGTTGGTTTTGTGCAGAAGGTGGTGCTGCCTGCTCTTCCTCAGGGAGATCTTACCCCATTTTCTAGGCTCACCTCATCGGAGTAATTCAATCCAGCCTCCAGCACAGTTCCTCAGCTCCTCCCCAGAACCAGTCAGTGCTCCCTTGACATGATGCTCTGGCCTTCCTGGGGCAGTGAGGGGAGTGGAGAGCTCCCACTGGAGCCCCCAGCTGAATTAAAGCCCTTGCGGCCGCTGACATAAGCCAAGGTGCAGGAGTGCCAGGGGCAGGTGCCTCTGCCCTGACACCTGGCTGCCCTGGTCTTGCTGGAGGTCTGGGCCACCTGCCAGGCAAATGGACTAGCAGCCAAGGGGGTGGCAAACCCATTTGATGCTATTCAAGCAGAGTCAGCCTTGCTTAGCCCTCCCATTTCCCTGCAGCTCTTTTGCGTTCTTGCCTTACTTCACCTCGTCTCTTCCACCCCTTCTCACCTCTATTTTGCCGTCTTCTGTCTTTTTTACCTCTCTGCATCTCTTGCATCTTTTTCTTGGGGCTGTGGTTGCACATGATTTTTGGCTCCACAGGTAACAGGGCTGGGGAAAGCAAAAATGGCACCTGGAGCTGTGAATGGCTTTGTACATGTGCCAGGAACCACTTGTGAGCTGGGCTTCCCCCTCACATGCAGTCCTTCATTTGCAGAGATGCATCCTTTCGGGCTTGGGTCTGAGCTCCCTATGGGACAAAGCAGTGCAGAGGAAAGCCTCTTTGGTGGGAGGAAAGGTGGATGCCATGCCTCTGTCTGTCCTTTCTCCCACACCCAAACCCCCTGGCTGCCTAGTCCTGGTCTTGTTTGCAGGACATGGCTTTCAGTGACTCCCTGAAAGGCACTGAAGGGACTGTGGGACTCCTTCTCCATCGATGATTGCCCAGCTTTGTGCTGGTCGTGCCAAGCTGGGCAGTGGTGCTGGGCTGTGCAGGGGCAGGCAGGGTGCAGAGACTGCCAGGCATTTTTGGGGCTGTGGTGGCATGAGACTGTCCATGGGTGAGAGCTGCAGGCAGATGGACTTGCTCTCTCACAAAGCCTCAGGTGAATCAGGGAAGAAACCATCTGCTTGCATGCATGTGCACTTGGGAATACACACGTGTGTGTGTATATGCACATAGTATGCATCATCCCAGGGACAGGATCCAACCCTTTGCTGCTGCTGGATTGTTTTTCCTCCTGACTTATTTACATGCCCCTGGTGATGTTCAGGCTGGGGCTCAATCCTGCACATCCCCTGCAAGCATCATCCCACAGCAGGTGGGGTGACTGTGCTGCTGGGTAAGGTAACACAGGCATCTGGGCAGCGTTCATGTGTGTACATGTGTGTGCCTCTCTGTGCTCATGTGCAGAAGGTTCTGCACATGTGCAGGTTGTTGTGCATCTGTGACATTAGTGATGGTCATAGCATACATGCCAAGCACGTGGGAGGAGGATGCAGCAGGCACATACATGTAGAGGAACATGAACTGACACAGACACACAGCAGGGGTTTGGGGGTTTGCCAAGTATTTTGTGGGGTGCGTGTGGGTGTATATTGTATTATTTTTCCAAAGTTTGCATACACAGACACGTGGGGGTACACAGTTTTGCTCAGCCCCTGTGTGTCTGTGTTGGTACGTGTTCCTGTGCATGTACATGCGTGGCCACGTGCACATGTGGAGCACGCCAGCCGTGTCCTTCTATTTAGTGTGTACCCATGTCCATCTGTGGCTCTGTGTGTGCTGCCCGGTGCCCATGCAATGCTGCAGGGCCTTGGCCTGGGCAGCTGTGGGCTCGAGCGTGATTCTGCATGTCTGTGTGTGGCCGGAGTCAGTGTGCAGTGGGCGCAGGGGCACGGCTGGCTCTGCCCTGGAGATGCTGG